GTTGACATCTAGCAAACGCTGGCATCATAGATCCACTGACAGGTTGATATGTGTCAGTAAATCCGCTCTTAATACGGTTGTTATACGTCTGCGTTAACGAAGATCCAACTGAATTGTCACCGTAGACCAAAGCTGAGCAGTGAGGATAGTTGAGCGTAAGTTTTCATATGGGGCCAGTAGCTGCTGTTAAGCACATAGAAGATGGAGCGCGGTTGACAAAAGATCCGTTTGGAGGTGTTATGCTGCAGTCAGCACCAGTGTCGACAAGAAAACGGAAACCGTTGGTCTGATCAAGGACAGTGCGTCGTCGAGATTTAGTTTGCTTTTGACCAAGAACCATGCTCTCCTCTATCTTCTGGCCTGTTCTTTTCCCGACGGCGGAACGCTGACGTCTGCATTTAACTGAAGGTGCAGCGTTCAGCGCATTTTCGGACCGATTGTCCGAACCGGCTATATTACCAACAAATGGTTAAGGTGCAGAAATGGCTGCTTTTTCTGGTAGATGATCGCGCATTGTAACTACGACGTCGTGCTTTTCGGTTTAACAGATATTTAGCTATCTGTTTAGCTAAATCGTCCGAACGGTCGTTATGCAAGTTTGATAGGATGTGTTATTTAACGACGGACATTTTAGCTGTGCTTGGCTGGATTTCTTAAAGCTCGTAAGTGAAACCAGCGAGTTGCGTTAAGGGAACAATGTCAGCGCTGGCGGCTATGATGGTCTGTACCTGCTTAAGAAAACGCTTCAGAAATAGCTGCTTGCATAAAGCGTCATCCAGTTTGCGATCGCATAATCCAATGTGAAAACGTCTGAGGAACTGAGAAGGGGTGCATCCGTCAAGTGATTCGCCGATAGTCAATTGTTCAAGACGTTAGTGTTCAGAAACGGTGGTTCGTTAAATGATTGCATGTTTAAGCTGTGGATAAGGCTTAGAGTCATCCGGGGACGACAAAATATCTCGTGGGTCAGCAACAAACTCTGGTGGCTGACACATGTTAAAACATGGTTTGTTCTTGTATGTTATCGCGAAGAGCAAACTGTGCATGGACATGAGTAAACCATATATGTGGATCATAGTACGAAAAATGCGGTAGGTTCACAGAAACTAGGTTATGGTAGTAAAGAGTATGCGAAACCAGCCTGGTGTGATGGAATAGCCATAGGCGATAATAAACAGTTAAAAGTCAGGATAATACAAGGTGCCTCAAGTCGGATTCAGCAATTATTAGTGGCGCTTAAATAGAGACTAATTACAAAATCAATAGGCTAGGCACTAATATAATAATATTGTACACAAAATAATGATGCGTAAAAGTGAGAGGGACCTCCTTTGCTTGCCCGATGGCTGTGAGTCTAATTCCGATCGCGGTGCGGTTGCGACTGGATGCTTCAAGCCTTGAGCACATTGTCCGGCCGTTCCAGTTGCGTTGTGTGGGTCATGATGCGACATAGGTACATCAGTGGAGGCGCGATCAGGTGCACTCTCAACAGCCTATATTTATCAAGTGCTTTGATGCACCGGCGTGGTCATTCGTTGGAGGTCAAATGCTGTGTTGAAGCCGGCTTGGATCACGTGGTGTACATCGCGTGGTGTGGGGTTAGGCTTTCTATACAGGTTAGGTGAAAAATGCAGTTCCACAAACACGAGTGCTTTGCGAGTGACAGACGGAGCTAACGATCCGCACCACTTGTCGTAGGAAATCAGGCGTCAGTGAGACAAGCAGACAGCGCGGATGCACTGCAAACCAAAAGGAGCGCCGTATGGTTCGCTGGGCGGAACCCTTTCAAATTCAGTTCAGTTGGCCACATGCTTCTGGGCCTCTTCCTACTCAGGTGATGCAGGACGAGTCATAGACTGTTAGTTTAGAGGTTCCTTCGGAACACGAGGTCAGAAACGCGATCACAGCTCTCAATCGTTTTCGTGCCGCTGGCCCGGATTCTCTCCCACATGCACTATTTAAGGATAGAGGTGAGGACCACTGAAAACACTGACGTCCCTGTTCGAACACATCTGGAAGGCAGAGACCATCCCAGCTAACCGGAGTAAATCGATTTTAATGGCAATACACAAGATGGGCAGTCGCACAGACTGTGCTAACCACAAGGGTATTAACCTAAAGCCAGTTGTGACAAAAGTACTGGCCTCAATTCTCGTTCGTCGCTTCACTGTGGAACGTAAGTCGCGGATTAGGGAAGAGCGAACAGGCTTTCGCCAGGACGTGGTTGTATAGACGATACGTTCATTCTGCGGCAGGTGCTAGAGCTGCGCCACGCATAACGCAGACCGACAATAGCTGCGTTCCTCGATTTCAAGGGTGCGTACGATTCAGTCGATGGATACCTACTGCTCCAAACACTTGTGCGGAAAGGTGCTCAAACAAAATATGCGAACATCCTATGTGCTCTATACTCGAACGTCACAGACCGCGTCATGGTCCACCGTGACCTCTCGGATAGATTTCCGACCACAAGTGACGTTTCTTAGTGCTTTCCATTTGCCCAGTTTTTGTTCCAGTTCGTCATGGACTGCATCATGGAGTGTTCTCTCACGGAATCTCACGGTGTAGGCGTCGAGGTCCTACCAGAGAAAAGACTAGTTGATCTACATTATGCAGGCGATATCGTCTTGCCTGTTGACGATGGAGTGGCGCAATCAGCCCTGAATAGCCTGCCTTGGGTGGTGTCATTATTTAGTATGCGCTTCGCACCTTCAAAGTGTTGCTACAGGACCAGCAATAACTTGATGATCCCTTGACCCTTGATAGCGAGGAACTCGAGGTGGCTGATCGGTTCACTTCCCTTGGCAGCTGCATCAGCAACGATGGGTGCATAGAAACTGAAGTCAGTTCACGCGTTGCAAAAGCCAGAACTGCCTTCTTGAACCTGCGACGTATTTGGCGACAGAATGAAGTTTCCCTCAGTCTGAAAGGCAGTGTTTAAAAGGCCGCAGTGTGGGCCATCCTGCTATATGGAAGTGAGATTTGGCCCCTTCGGTTTGAAGATATGAGGCGTTTTAAAGTCCTTGATCATCGTTGTCTGCGAAGCATTGCCGGTGTCGGATGGCATCAGCGTGTCCGCAACGATGATATGCATAAGCGAGTACTAGGCAGTGACAACCAGGCTATTTCCTTAGAACGACAGATAACACCGAATAAGTTGCGTTGGTTTGGGCACGTACTACGTATGCCCGGTCACCGCTTAACGAGAACCGCTTTGTTTACTCTGCCAAATGTAGGGTGGCGGAAGGCTCGAGGTGAACAGAAGTTGAATTGACAGCGAGAAATGAAGTCACTGAGGACCAACCTCGGTGCCGTCGATCCGTCTCGCCTTCCAGATTGGAGTCCACGTGATCCATCTTGTGCTTCGCTCAAGACGTTACAGGATATGTCTCGCAGTTGGCACCAGTAGCGCGTCTGCTGCCTTCTTCTAGTCGGACTTCCTGTTTAAAGTATGATTGATGCTGAGTTATCTGTAGGGTAATGGCTGATTATGACGCGGGGCGGCGAAGGCGTAAGGAAATTGTCTTGGTGATGCCGTCTTATCTTTATAAGCCAGCCAGCTATTGGTTACGCTATGTTGCTAACACAAGACGTAGGCGCCTTGACCCTAAATGTTTGCTTAGGACATTAAGATTTGTTTGGTAAGTCCCCCTTCTCTCCCTCTAATTATTCTTCATTCCATTGTGCATCATAATTGTAGGGCAGCGAAGCATCTGTTTCAATGTCTGATGTGTTGCTGTTGATTGCTTACTCTTCGTGTCGCCACATGTCCGTGAAGAAATTTTCGACCTAATTCTCTTCGAACAACCTCACTATCGAGCAATCCTTCTGATAACACAAGAAGCCAAAGAAAATTGCTTTCATAAAAACGCAGATTCGTTAACATTACCCTATTCTGTTTCCTCTTCAGCTTTATGATGGAAGCGGCCATACATGGCTCTGGTATTTATTTATAAGCAAACTTAGAGTGAGGTGGAGATATTACCCCTCGCTTGTAGGAAATCATCGCTACAACTTTTGTTGAATTGAGTTATTCGGACCGCTGTGCACTATAGTAGGTGTTTCACACAGTAGTTCAAGGTACGTTTGCAAAATCTACGGGTTTTGTAAATTCCGGTAATGGCTCGAGAACAGACTGGATTAGTGAACAAATTTAACCATTTTATATATATATATATATATATATATATATATATATATAATCAGTTTCCGTGTTGGCATCCGTACTACCCGTATGAGCATTCAGATCCTGTAGCCTGTGGATACTGGAAATCATGCAGTCAGAAATGTGTGGTCCATACAGCATACTACTGCGTGCACCGTTGTTCTCTGAATCAAGGCAGTAGACACTGTCTGCTAAAAATGACTAGGGGTTATTTATCCCTTCCTACCCACAGCCATTACATCCATCTTGTAGGAATCCCGAGCATGTATTTGTGCCCGATATCTAGCGTCTGGCAGTTAGCCCACCGCTGCTGCACTGCACCGTCTTTTGCGCCCATTGTACCTACTCTGGCGAGCCATGCTCTAATTATACAAATCAGTTAATAACCCTGGGGCGTTGTTTTTCATTGGATAACATCGCGGTATAAATAGCCTGTGGCACAGCGGAAAGACATGACGATACGTGGCCGCATTAGTGCATGTTGTCCCTCTGGGGAAGATGAAGGTTATCCTGCATGAACATCTTTTGCTTCCACCAAGGTCAGTACTGACGTAAGGTCAATAGCATCTCTGCATTCGAGTCAGTATTTCCAGTTGTTAGGCTTTCCACATAACGATCGTGACAGCTTCAGTATTGGTCTTTGTATCACAACTGTACATCTGTGTTACTGTTAGCGTTATCGTCCTGGAGAAGTGGATCACTATAGGGTAAGTTAAAAGCACATCCACCGCCGAATCACATGCAAGTAAACCGCATCATACTGCATAGTTGGAAGCATACTTCATAGCTTTTTAACTTACCATAAGGCCTTTTCCACCTCTTATTCCTTTGGAAGCCCATCAAAGCGGTGCGATCGAGGATTTCAGCGTCAGCAGTCCAACTTTGGAACACGCCTATTTTGAGCTAGCAAAGACACAGCTCCGAGGGACCAACTCGATGACCACCTGAGCATTCACTGGAATAATCAATCACACAATCACCGTGAAAGCTTTTTCTCTGAACTGCTTCCTTTACGAACTCGAATTTCACCTGCATCTTCTGCTCTCTATTTCCTCAATGTATGCAAACACATTTTAGGATGCATATCTTCCAGTCGATCCAGTTGGTCCTTCAAGGAGAACCGCTACTTGCCTCTGTCTACTAAGTTCATATGCTCCATGTTGATGTAATACTTCTCTTCCTTGATGTCTATTTCTTTATTGTCAAGCACATCTGTAGAAACGATCTATTTTTTGATCTGTGTGTGATATTATGTGAACATTTAACCTAAGTTTCTGGTTAAATAAAGCCACTTCAATAGCAGAAGGATCAGTCTTTGTTTTTTGGTTAGTCCCTTCGGCCCTGATCACACTGTTCGCTTAAAATTGGTTGTGATTCTGTGATTTCTCTTCTCATCCACCTGTGTATGTTTACATACCTGTTCTAACTGTACGGCGACCATGTAGAGATGATCGATACCTTCACGCCACATTGGTGACTCAGGTACTGAAGCCCTACTCGAATATCGAGCAGTGTTCGCAGCCATATTGGTGATGATCCGTTTTATACGTCACCACACTGACCCATTACTATTCATATTACGAAAACAAATCTGTCCATCTTACCAGTTTTGTTCAAGTTTATCAGTGGAGCTATCACTCACTAAGCACTGAAGGTGCTTATAAGTATAGGGTTGAGCTTTCCCTCAGAAGTAATTTGGCGGATTCCGATTATGTCGATGATGCTACTTTGTTGGGAGACAATCCACAAACTCTCTGAAGCGTTTCAAATCGCTTAGCAGTCTGCATGCCGTCCGTATTCTGCACCATCCAAGTTAGACTTAATCTTTTAGGACTGACAAGCACCGTCTGCCTACACTCACCATTGCAAAGCATGATCTAAAGCAAAATCAATATGTACGTAAATAGGGGCTGCATCCCGGTTGCTAGTGGTGTCGAACTTGGCGTCTCATAAAGATAGGAAACAGGAAATTCCCATTAAAATTCCGAACCGAAATAGCAGAAGAGGCAACTTGTGAGGTGACAGATATTTCGTGCATCCTGCTCAGTCACAAATTATATGAAATCGTAGATATACGTAATGCATTCATATGAGATCAATACCTAGCCAATGGTTGGCAAATCGTCGCCTCTCACGATGCCACGGTAAATCAAGATTCACAGTCATCAGTTTATACACACGAGGCAGTGACCGTTTTCGGCCGATGACAATGGTTTCCAATAGCTTGACAGTGTGGGGTCGCTGATTATGCATCCGATATTATTGTCGCCATCTTAACTACTCTGGCCTATCTAGAATGACCACACAGGACCCATTGTCAGGCTTCAAAATAATAATGTCAGACAGCACGGTTTATGCCGGATACCATCAAGTAGCAAGTTTGTCTCGAACTTTAAGTCTTAACGTCGACCGGTGGCCGAGTGGATTGTACGCCTGGCTTGTAATCCCTAGGTTACCGGTTCGAATCTGCTTAGGGACATGCGTCCTCGCGGTATACTCAGCATACCCGAGAGCGGTGGCGGTCGCGTGGCAGCGAAGCATCGGTAAAGTGTGCAGGCGTACTACAAATGAGTGACATTTCTTAACAATTCAAAGATTTATATCTGAAGGCCAATATCATGCAGCAAACTTGTGAGCACCCACACTCCACAAATGTACACCTCGCCCAAGTGCATAAGGAAGCAATGTTTATGCGACCAAGTATTTCCATGGACAATTCACCGTACCACGCTCCCGCCAATCGGATGAAAAACGTACTTGAACCTGTCGGGAAATCCATAGTAAAAGATACTTTGTCAAACACTTTCGAAATATTGCCCTACTTTAAATGTGTGAAAGTGACCAAAAAGCGAGGATGTTCACTTGAGGTACAGTCGCACTTCTGTAACTTCCTGCTGGACGAGACCGTTGCTTACCTCTGTGCGTGTATCTCAAAACATAATATCCAACTAAGGTTCCCAACGGAATTGTTTCAGCACATGGTTCATTTGTGCATGAAAACCATGGTATTATTTTCTAAGTAAAGCATATCGAAAGCAAGATGACGTTGTGATCGGCAATCCACTAGTCCCTTTGTTGGCAGATGTATTCATGGGCATGCTTGAAGAGAGTTCAGATGATATCATAAAATCGACAACCATATACGAGCCTTATGTGAATGATACACTGATTTTCATGCATTCGGACGAGGGCATCGTACGTGCCACAGAGGCACTCAACAGTATACCTCCAAATTTACAGTAAATTGTGAAGTAGAGCAAAGCAATTGTCTTCCGTATCTTAACATACTGATCATACGGCGATTGGACGGTTCCACCAGAAGGTCAGTTTAGCGAAAAGCAACAAGGACGGGTCAGTAGTTAGAGTTTATGGGTTTCAGCTCAACACAACACCTACGCCTACTCGTCCGGACGCTGTTTCATCAAGCCTACATGATTTGGATCCCGGATGCAAAAGAGGCAGAGAAAGATTTACTGCTCGGGACATTACAGTCGGTTATCCGATGAAGTTCATACCCGTATTCGTGACATAACCAAGGGTGATCGTGTACCGAGAGTCCAAAAGCAAATTTTCTGTGCAACTTAATAACAGGTCGCTTAGGTACTCTGGAGGCAGTCCCAGAGCTAGAGAGCAAGTTTCATAATTCGTCGACTGTTTCATGTAGAGGCACGTTCGTAAAAAGCGAGTCCACAACTATCGAGTACATGTGCTCTGTGGTTAGCAACGTATGGTCCAATGCCTCGATTAATTCAAGCGAGTCTTTTAAACAGTGTGTTGACAGGAGCTTACGGACTGGTTCTAACAGCTTCGCTAACCAACGTCCAGCATTGTGATATGGGCTGTCGTTCATACACATAATTGGTCGTAAGAGATTATCCGCCTTGTATATCTTCGGTGCGCCTCTCATTCTTGGTGTTTCCGTTCCTGTCGGTTTCAATCGACTGTAGTGTACTTCAGAGATGTAAGCATGTAACAGAAGGATTTGTTGTTTTCTACTTACCTGCTTTCAACCAGGAGAGTTGTGTCCGATATCGTGTTAAGTTTGGACCTACTTTTATCCCCGAGAATTGATTCCATCTTGGCAACGTACTCCACTTTGTCCATAATTACAACAGCCGATTCTTTGTCCGGTTGAAAAAGGACGTGCTGCAGCTCTTTCAACTTCTTGATCACTTTATAATGTTCAGATCAGAGGCAAAACCTCTGGCTTATCGGTGTGTCTAGGAAATGGTTCGCGATGTCCACCAATTTTGTACGAAACCAATCTGTGTCATTCGTCGAGCTCGGTGAGGCTTCAGCTAGCTGATCATACGGGTACTCAAAATTCACCTGCGCTCTTACCGGGCTGACATTCCTCGGTGGTAGTCGACACTTCAGCCCCAGTGCAAGAACCTTAACTTTTCTCGTGTAAACTAAGCCGAGGAAAGATTGTGTACGTGTTTACAGCAATCGTGTGTACATGTTGCACTGGTCATTCTGGCTGGAGACCTTTGCAGACTGTCCAAGATTTTAATCCTCGTACGCCGGAGAAGTTCCGACGAAAATGCTTTGAATTTGAGGTGTAAAAACAATGAATATCCGTTAAATGCATGTGCGTCTCGAGGAACTTGTGCTGACATTCAACTTAGGCATCCATATGGGCAGATGCAAGTCTTGCCTGATTGGTTCTGTTAGTTGGCAACTCGTTCTTTGACAACATTTCGGCGAATCGAGATGGAAAGCTACCTGAATGGCTCTAATCCCCATAAAATTTAACCCGGACAAGTTCCACATCAAACTTACATCTTAAAGACACCAATCGCTCCACTGTTCTCGCGAAGTTAGCAGGGCGACTTATTTTAAGAAATTTGAAACACTGCGTCCCCTTTACACATCTATTTAGCGCAAACAGGAGCCATAAAATGCAATATGTTAACATTTGGACTGCTCTCCTCAGTCAAAAACGAAGTATATTTGAGAAATAACATAAAGTGGAACGAAAGCATATAGGTAAAATTGAATTGAAAAATCATGTCCCCGGCAATCTGATAGATTGTTTGAGTACTACGTTTACGCGTACAGCACCGGCAGATTCACCACAATCAGTAGTGTTTCACTGATCGCCAGCTTCCTCGAGTTGCGGTTAATCAATAGCACTTTGAATGCTTTTGCACAGAGGTTCCAGTTGAGTTTGCGTTTGAAAGAATCCCATGTTTATCGAACTGCCATTCAAAGATGTGCATATTATGAAACCCCCTGGGAAGCATTAGTGCTTCAGTGAAAATAGTATGTATTGTAGCAGAACGAGGTTTGCTCACATCAATAAAACTGCTTATGTGTTCCATGAAGTCAACGATAACGAAGCAGTGTACTTCCTTTTGTTTATACAAATTCAATTATAACTGAGGGACAGCTATGTTGAGCGCACTGACCGAAGTTTAGGTATCAGGATCAAGGAACACACTACTAAGTGGTGAAGGTGGAATCTGGGGAATATAAGCATATACCTGCTCCTGCAATCACAAGGCACTTGCCGAGCACTGGCCACCGAGTCAATCCCGACGAGCCATTCCCCTACTTGATGCTCAATCAACAGCCCCACAGTCTCAAAATATTGGAAGCCATTGTCATCGGTCGAGAACCGCCAGTGCTTTGAGAGCAGGAAAAGCTGACTATGAATCTTAGATTACCGTGGTGGCGTGAGGCGCGACGATTTGTCAACCATCGGCTAGGTATTGATTTCACATGACTGCGTTTTTTTATATCTGTGCCTTCGTATGATTTGTGTCTGAGGACGATGCACGAAATGACTGCGTCAACTCAGTTTACATCTTCTGAAGTTTCATGACGCTTTGCTAATTTACCTTTTGAAATCATTAACCAGAGAGTTCTGTTACTTTATCTCGAGGTCTCATGCTCAAGATGAAAGGACTACTAATTTTTGACAACTGCTAATTGCGAAGCATTGCTCGCGTATGATTGTATGGTATAGGTAGAAATTCGTCACATCTTGACTCACTCAGACAGCCCCTACAAGCCCGGAAAAGCACTGTACGAGCGTTTCGTCCTTTCGGGAATCGTCAGCAGTGCGCATTCCATCGGACCCTGGTAGGGTTGGAACCCGCAACTCGAATGTTGCCAGTCCGTGGTTGAGACCACTGAGCTACGGGAGACGGCAAGGGCCATCATGAATAACTTAGAGAAGGGTTATGTCACCGTATCTCTATGCATTACTGGATTTATTTTATTTCATCTTGTCGTTTCAGGTGATTGGCTGTTGCTTGATATTCCCGGTGTGGCTGCGCTTGATGTGCATGTTGACAAGGTGCCTACCTGTCTGTTACCCACTTCCTCGTCCATA